AAGAAGACATAAGAAGATGCTGGATGACCTTGGGGACAGAAGAGGATACTGTCATTTGAAGGAGAAAGCTCTAGATTGCATTAAGTGGAGGAATTGTTTTGGAAGAGACTGTGGACCTGTCGTCTGGCAGATTACTGATGATGATGATTTAATCAGTGATGGGAAATACAGCAATGTGATTGTTTTGATGCCCATCAGAACGAAAGTCAGCTTACACTGAAATGCTGGGAATCCACAGTTGGACTCAAACAGGCAAGGGGATATATATACCAGGACCCTCTACCAGAAGAACAAAGGACCTGTTGAAATTAAACAGAGATCAACTAAGATGGGTGGTAGGTTTACTTACTGGACACTGCCACCTAAAAGGACACCTTTATAAAATGGAACTAATAGAAGACCCAACCTGTGAAAGGTGGCCGCACCATAGCTCAAACGGTTAGTCACTGGCTTCCCACTGCAGTGGCCTGGGTTCGATCCCGGGCCTGGTCAAGTGGGATTTGTGATGGACAGAGTGGCGCTGGGCAGGTTTTCTCTGAGTACTTTGGTTTCCCCTGCAAATCTTAATTCCACCAATTGCTCCACAATCACCCTCACCTATCTGGGGCTGGTACAACAGGCCAGAAGTGGCTGCAGTACAAGGGACTTAGTCCCATCCCACTAGCAATAAATAAAAAAAAACCTGTGAAAGGTGCCTACAAGAAGATGAATCAGCCACACATATCCTATGTGATTGTGAGGCCATAGCTTACTTAAGATTTTACCACCTGGGTCAGTTCTTCATGGAACCATGTGGCTTTTATGATGCCCCATAAATAAAGTCCTATGTTTCATTCAGAGTGTAGGATTAAGAATGGGTTAATGCAAAGGGGTATGAATGTATAAGGGGTGAGCCCTCTCGTCCCTTGCACCATGACCTTCAGTGATCTAGTAAGGGGAAGCACAATAGATCATTGAAGGTCGCAGTGTGAGGGCTGGATTTTATGGCCCATCTCTTACACACATACACACATCAAAATGAAAGAACTTTCTCAACAAGGGAAGTAACAGTGTTTCTACATGGTGCAATCCAAAAGTTCCCAAAATATATTAATAAAAACTATTACATCTTACCTAGATCTTATTCTGCACCATCACCTTCAAAGTAGTCCCCTTGGGAGCACATACACCGATCCCAGCATTTCTGCCAATTTTCAAATGCATCCTGGAAGTCTTTCTTTGTTAGGGTGTTTAGTACCATCTGCATTTCCGCTTGAATTTCCTCAGCTGTATCAAATCTTCGTCCCTTGAACTTGATTTTCATCTTGGGGAAAAGAAAGAAGTCGCATGGAGCTAAGTCTGGCGAGTACAGTGGATGGGTAACAACTGCCATCTTGTTTTTCACCAAAAATTCCTGCACAGTGTAAGCCGTATGAGGTCGTGCGTTGTCATGGTGGAGTACCCAGTCATTCGTGCGCCACTTCTCTGGACGTTTTCTCCTCATGTCCTCCCACAAACACCTTAGAACATCACAATAGAACTCTTTATTGACTGTATGACCAGGAGGGACGAACTCCTTATGAACAATCCCGTCAATATCAAAAAAACAGAGCAAAATGGACTTAATATTGCTCTTGACTTGTCGAGCTTTTTTTGGCCGAGGCGAAGAAGGGCTCTTCCATTGTGACAATTGCTGCTTGCTTTCAGGGTCGTAGCCATACACCCAACTTTCGTCACCAGTGACAACCTTCGAAAGAAAGTTTGGATCCTCATGAAGCTGTTGCTGAAGTTCCCTGCAGACTTCCAAGCGATGCTGCTTCTGTTCATTTTGCAGCAGTCGTGGCACAAACTTCACCGCAATCCTCCTCATGTTCAGTTCCTCTGACAAAATTCGTTGACATGTACCATAACTTAGTCCCAAGGTGTTACAGAGGTCTTGGATGGTCAGTCTATGGTCTTGCAGAATCAGATCCCTAACTTTCGTGACATTTTCTGGTGTGGTCCCAATTGATGGCCGTCCCAAACAATCATCATCAGTCAATGTTCAACCATTTTTGATATACCAGTCGTAAGTTTGTGTCTGGCCTAAATTGTTGTCACCAAAAGCTTGCTTCAACATTTGGTGCGTTTCTGCAGCGGTTTTCCCAAGTTTGAAACAAAACTTTATACAGACACGCTGCTCTCTCAGGTCAGCCATCGCAAAACTGCAGACTCACGGAAACACAACAATGGAAATACGTTCACCAACAATAAACCCAACCACTCAACTCGACGCCGCTTGCCACACTGATTCAAGAAGGATGTGTGAGGAGACACCTAGCGGTATTTCGATGTACTCATAACCATTCACACGCAAAATTTAAATTTCGGAAACTTTTGGATTGCCCCATGTATTTGTTGAAGTTTTCAATGTTGCTTGTTCAGTTGAGCAGTCATGTCTGGTGTGAAATGGAATTTCTGAAACCTTACAGGATCAAAGAGTTCATAATATTCAGAGCTCTTCATCCACAGCTATGCTGTCACACAAGTACCTTACCTCTGGACAGTTATCTGACTATTGTGCAGATCTGGATACTGGTAATGAACCTCTCAAAGGAGTTCAAGAAACTGCCAATGTTTGAGAGCTCTTGTCATAATTTTGATGATAATAGCTGCTACTAATTCCATTACCTTGGAGATATCTGGATAGCTTTGGGTGCAGAGGGCATCTTCAAAGGTAATACAAGGAAACCAAGCAAGAAGCTAGCATGAAGCAAGCAGAATGCAGGACAAAGTTATAACATCAAAATAGCATGAGTAATGCTCGCTACCATTCAGTTCAATATCTTTTGTCTTCCTCCTCTTCTCAAGATTTATGGATTAAAATATACAAAACGGTTTTGCCTGTAGTTTTGGCCTCTCACATTAAGGGAAGAACATAGAATATTGATATTTGAGAACAGGGGGCTAAGGAGAATATTTGGATGTAAGAGGCTTGAGAAAGTTGCATAGTGAGAAGATTCATAGTTTGTACTATTTACCACATTATTTAAAGTAATGTTGCCACTGTATAGTCACACTAAATGACATGACAATATGTAGGCATTGGAGTGTTCAAAGGCTCATCTTCATTATTTTATTGATTATACATGTATGAAGCATTATTGTTGTTATTAGCAATGAATTACACTTTTTATAACCAAGGAGACACTGAAAGACACTTTGAAGATTGAAACTCACATTTATTCATGGTATGTGGTAAAGGCTTGATGGACAAATCAGTTTGTTGTATAATTGAAGGGACATGATATGAAAGGATGTAAGATGCTTAGGTTTATTTTAATTTTTTTGAGCCACCTGATACATTTTCATTCTGACTATTTTTAAACAGCTTGGAAATGAATCTAGGAAATGTGTTCGTCAGTGTAAAATTAGAAGCAATTTGATCTAAATTTCAGTCATTATGCACCATTATGCTGTTATGGCATTACTAGTGCTTCAGAAATTATTTCTCACCCACTAAATATCATTGCAAAGACAGTCAGAACCTGAAAACCTACAACTTTGACCACTTTTATGTTAGGCAATGTGAATGAACATCTTCTGAAACTACGAGGGTTGGAACTTTAATAGTGGCAACTATTTATTTACAACTGATACAAAATAGATGCATGTGTCAAAGTTTTACTGTCCTTCAGTGTAGGCACCAGCATTGTGTACAACCCATTGCCAGTGATGTGGAAGTCGTAGGATACCTTTAGCAGTGCCTGTTGTGTTGATAGTTCAAATGGAGTGGTCTGCTGCCTGAAGAATCTCTGGAACAGTTCTGAAGCGAATGCCATGAAGTGGTTCCTTCCTCTTAGGAATCAAGTCGAAGTCACGAGGGTTTAAGTCCGGGGAGTATGGTGGATGGTACAGCACTTCCCAGCTCCATCGATCAAACAAATCAGCTACAGCTTGCCATTTCTGCATTTCTGTCAAATCATGCGGAACCCATCATGATGCAATTTTTCTCATGCCCAGGCGTTCCTTCAGAATGTGAAGCACAGTCGTATGCGCTAATCCTGTCTCTCGGGACAGCTCACGAATTGTATGGCGTCGATCACTCTCCAGTAACGCGGAAAGAGCCTACACTTCTTCTTCACTGACACTAGGACGACCTGGCCGACGCATGTCTGCCACATTTTGGCGCCCTTCATTGAAGGCTTGTAGCCACCTTGCCACTGTTCTGTAAGGCAATGCAGATTCCCCGCAAGCCTCTAGAAGACCTTGGATGACACTGTTGTGCTGTATGGCCTCTGGCACATTCAATCTTTATCCAACTCCGGTGTTCCTGTTTCGAAAACATAACACTACATTGGACCACCAGCTAACATGAGGCACTGCACATGCGCATGATGTGGGAAGAAAGAGTCCATTTCCCTTGAGGTAAGGTAGGTATGTAAGTAACGTGTGGTATAAGCGACATTATTTGGTTCCGTTGCATGGTGTCTCCACAGCAGTGTTGCCACTATTGAAGTTCCAACCCTTGTATCTGCATTCATTCAGAAATCAGCAATTCAAAACTCTGCCTTGGGTCAGAAGCGGCCTTTGGATGTGTAAATTTAATAGTAGAAACTCATGAACCACTTGCAATCCCAGGGTGGGCCAAAAATTGTCAACAATTTCTTTCCTATGGAATTCAGTTTTAAGACTTTTTTTGTGTGCTTGACTTATAGGATCAATACAGAGTGTTTTGAATCTTATCGCCGTGCAGATATCTATGCATTTGGTCTTGTGCTATGGGAAGTTTGCCGGAGAACATTATCTAATGGAATTGCTGAAGACTACAAACCTCCTTTCTACGATCTAGTGCCAAATGATCCCAGTTTTGAGGACATGAAGAAGGTGGTTTGCATTGACCAGCAGAGGCCAAATTTGCCCAACAGATGGGCTTCCAATGCGGTAAGGCTTTCAGTGAATGATAGTTATACTGTAGAAAAACAATATTTGTTTATAGATTTCTAACTTGTTAAACTAATTAGTAAATGAATGTAGGCAGATCCATTTTCTAGCAAACATTGCTGTGGCCATCTTCAGGGTTGGTGTCTTGTATGTCTGGAAGGAAGGGGTGAACATGATTGCTTTGTCTTGAGCTGGATTCTGATTAGTTAGGGGATGAGGAGAAGTCATGGAACCTGCCTAAGTGGCCTAGGCTGTAAACTTTGTTTCATATGTTTTGCATCTGTACAATTTTGTTGTTGTTGTTGCTGATATTCTCCATTGCATTGGCAGTAGTCATGAATGTCAGTAATTAACTTGTGTTTCTTCCAGTTGAACCGTTCATATCAGTGCATTTGATTCTCTGACTTCTTTCTCTCAGTCAGACTGCTTCCTTCCTACTTATTCACCTGTCACCCTTTAAATGTTTACCCATGCTCCTTATAATGACATGACCTAAAATGGCATGTGTGACCAATCATTTGATATTCCCCTACTCTTGGGATCCCAGGATGTTTCTCAGGTAAGAGTGCTTGGCCACCATCTCAGCCTCTTGCTCTGTTGATGGTTTGGCAGACAAATTGGGACCCAGTTCCAGACCATTTTGATTTATTTTTCTAAATTCCATACCAGCCATTTGTGTCCTACCCATGTCAAGGGAACAAGGGCCTTGTCACCCTGCTCTCAAGTAGATGTGAGTATATTCTCCACCCATCCTGGATGTAAGGTAATTGTTGTTTATTGTTTATTGTTATTAAATAACTCCACAAATCCTGTACAGGGGCTTTAGCACCCATAGGATATAGAGCTAGTCAAACTTATACAATAACATACAAAACATTAAAAGATACATGGTGTAACATTAAATCAAGCCATATCATAACGACATGATTCATACACTGTTAGAAATACAACCTTTTACTTGTTACTACTCGAAGTTCATTCGTCACAATCATTAAACTTTAATCATAAAACAACATCACATAATACTAAGTAATAAACATAATTAAAAAATATAACATACAGTTAATCCCATTTACATCCAATCAGTATTTACAAATTATTTTGATTAAAATACTCCTCTAATGAATAAAATGACCACGAGCAAAGATATCTCTTTAATGCTGTTTTAAACAATTCAATTTTGTATGATAATGATTTTATATTTATAGGAAGATGGTTAAATATCCTCATTCCAATAGCATATGTCCCTTCATTATATATTGTTAATCTAGCAGATGGAAAATGAAGGTCAGTATTGTGCCTAGTATTTAGACCATGAATTTCTTGATTAGTTTTATAAAGATGCTTATTTCTCACAACGAATATCATCAAAGAAAATATAAAGAAAGCAGTCTTCTGGGATTTGGCGCTGTGTATATGTGAAATCCCAGAAGACTGCTTTCTTCATAGTCACCGCCATGAAAGCCTCAAATCTTACAAAGAAAATATATATTGAGAATAAAATGGTAAAATTTCCCAATCTTTAAAAAGTTGTCTACAAGAGTCTCTACATCTAGTCTTAGTCATAATATGGAGTATTCGTTTTTGCATCTTAAAAACACTAAGACTATGTGGTGAATTACCCCATAATAAAATACCATAAGATAATAATGAATGAACATTTGCAAAATATATCATTCTTAGAGTATTCTCCGTCATAAGGGGCGTGACAATCCTGATAGCATAACAAGCGGAACTTAACTTTTTTAAAACATGTTCAATGTGCCCCTTCCATGACAACTTTTCATCAATAATCAATCCTAGAAACTTGATATTAGTAAGATCAGTGATATGCTTATCTGCAAAAGTAATGTTTAAATCAAGCTTCTGACTATTTTTAGTCCGAAATTGTAAAAGATGTGTTTTGTCAAAATTTAAATAAATCAGATTACTCCTAAACCACTTATTTAAGTCATCAAGAGCGGTATTTATCTCCGTCAAAAAGTGTACAGGATTAGAACCAGTTACAATCATACTGGTGTCATCAGCATACAGCACTAATGTATTATTTTTAGAAACCGTCAAAGGCAGATCGTTAATAAATAAAAGAAAAAATAGAGGGCCCAAGATAGATCCCTGCGGCACCCCGTGTTTGACTATCTCCCATTCAGAGTAACTATTTCTAGAATTATTTTGAATTATCACCCTCTGGTATCTCTCTGTAAGGTAAGATTTGATCAAGGCATTGAATTTCCCTACAATGCCATAGTATTCAAGTTTATTCAACAGGATTTTATGATTTACTACGTCAAAGGCCTTCTTTAAATCGCAGAAGATACCTCCCACAATCTGTTTATTATTAAAAGCAGTTAATATATCATGTGTTAATGTATAAGCTGCTTTATCAGTAGAAGATTCACTTCTGAAACCATATTGCTCCTTTGCCAATATTTGATTTTGAACCACATGTTGGTGAATTCTTAAGTAGATAACTTTCTCAACAACTTTAGAAAAGGATATTAACAAAGATATTGGTCTGAAGTTTGCTATATTTAGTTTATCTCCTGATTTAAAAATAGGTTTCACATTTGAGTATTTTAATCTGGATGGCAAAATACCTTTTTCAAGGCATTTCCCGTATTTACACGTGTATAGGCCACAGCACAATTTTCAGACAAATTATAGAAAAAATAATTTTCTTGGAATATTATTTCAGGAGTATTACCCTGTATTACTAATTATGAATATAATTTTTTTTAAATGAAATGTGATTTCGAATATTTTGAATATAAGCCGCACCGAAGTTTTCCTCTTGAATTTTTGGCAAAAAATATGCGGCCTATACATGCGTAAATACGGTATTACTATATACGGGGAACTCCATTTCAAAATTTTAACTGAAATTTCATCGTACCCATGGGAATTTTTTGTTTTTAATGATTTTATAATCTTACGAATCTCCTGGGTTGATGTATTTACAAATTTAATCCTAGGATAGGCTCGTTCTGTATTTTGAAGACTATTTATGGCAGCTGTCTCATTTATATTTAGACCTATTATTTCGTCTGCTATTGACGAAAAATATTTATTAAAAATACTTGATATTATGTGCTGATCATCTATTTGCAGACCGTTATGATTTATTAATGATATTCCTTCTTTTTTTGTTTTTCTACCTGTTTCTGTTTTAACAGTATTCCATATAGTTTTGATCCTATGGCTGGAGGTTAATATCTTTTTATTGTATAGATATTTCTTAGCCTCCTTAATAACTCTTGATAGAATTTTACAATAACGTTTATAGAAATCTTTTAATGCCTGATCATTATTATATTTAATATTCAAATATAGCTCACGCTTATGATTAAGCGAAATTTTTATTCCTCTAGTCATCCAACTTGGTAATGGTAGCCTTATTTGACTTCTTTGAGGCAACTTGAATTGGTTGTCCTAGAACAATTTATTTATTGCTCCTCAAGCTGATTTCATATATATATTTTACTTGTGTATTACATATCTGTATTTGTTATGTAACATTACTCCGTTGTGGGCAAGTGATCATAGTAGCATGTAGACTATCCACAGCAGCAGTCAGTTTCTTATGTCAATATTTAAATAACTTCAGTGTACATTAGTTTGTTGTCTCCACTGCTCCATACCAGTGCACATTTTGACTGTTTACTTGGATGTGACCCTACTGTTTAATAATAGTCAGCAGTCTGAAGTCGTGACTTACTGTTATCCGTTTCTATTTTTTTTAGTAGGGGCATGCAGTAGCATTGCTGGTTGAGGCACTATGCTGCGAGGTGGAAAGTTGCAGGTTCAATTCCCAATGAGGTGATTGGGTTTTTCAATTGACCTAAACCTTCCAGCCATACTCTGGCCCCAGGGTCAGCTCAGCCTCTAACAGAAATGAGTACCAGGAATTTTCCTGGGGTTAAAGTGTGGTCAGAGCATAAGGCTGACCTCAACACCATCTTCGAGCCAGCTGTCTAGAATATATGAGACCTTTATGTCTCACAACCCTACAGGGTCTCACAGCCTATTACAGGGATAGTTTTATTTTTTGGCTTGTTTGTTCTTTCTCTCTATTGTTACATTATCAACTAGTACTGTCCTTACACTTCCTACTCAGTTCTTTGTAGGGTCTTGGTCCCAGCATGTTGGTAAATGTTAATATACTGAGTGGCTTGTGTGAGGTATAATTCAGAACAAAGAGTTTTCATTTATGATTGCTGGGGGTGGGGAAACTTTTACAAATCATACAGGAGAAAATTTCACCATAAATTTCGTGACCCAATATGTCCATCTCAAGGTACAATTTCCAAATTAGTGAAGAAAGTTCGAACCAACGGTATTTTAATTGACAGAAAGCCGTTAAAAAGAAATCATGTTTTAACTGAAGAAAAACTTGATGACATCAGTAATCAGTTACAAAATTCTCTTCAAAAATCTTTGTGGCAATTAACACAACAAAGTGATGTTTCTGTAAGCAGTGCGTGGAAAGCAACTGAACTGTTGCATATTGATCCATATTAAATTACTGTTGTTCCTCAAATTAACCCTGTGAAATATGAAACAACACTGAGGATTTTTAATTGGTTTATCAATCATGCATGGTGGACTTCTTGATCGTAAGCTGATATTTTTCACAGATGAGGCTCTCTCTAAATATTGTAACATGTTGCGCAACGGAGGACCCCTACCTCACCAGCGGCACGTGGCGGTAACGTAGCGCTCCCCCCCCCCGCGGTGACGTACGCGCAACGCGCGGTGACGTAAGACGGCACGAGATAACAGCGTTGCTAGGCTATACACCACGTCACTACTGTGACGTGGCGGGCGACCCTAGCACCAGCGAACGGAATAAAAGCCGGCTGAGCAGCAAGCGAGAGTCAGTGTGTTAGCAACGAGTTCACAGTTCGCAAGTTACGAGCTACAGACGCGTGTGCGAGAATCAGTGATAGTTCGTGATAACCAGTTATATTTGGAGTGTGTAATTCAGCGAGACTTGTATAGCT